TTCAACTACTTTTTAGCCCAATTTACGGACACCCCGTTTTTTCCCCGTTTTATATCACAATGTTATTTTTGTTTACATGATTTTCCCACAAGGTTTTTAATAGGGTACTCATACCAGTAAGTACCATGGTGAATTTGAAATTCATCGATACTAAGGTTTGGCAAGACTACTTGATGATATCTGGAGACAAAGTAAATGCGCACAACTTTAAGGTGTAATAGTAGCCATTTCGGATTGTTACTATGTCCTCATAACCATTCAGTCACTTATATGCTTTAGAAAATGTTATTGAAGTAAGGATGTGTCAGTAGAATCAACAAAATAAACTTTTCAGAAAATAAAATCATAAAAAAATATACCAAATATGGGAACAAACATATTACATGACGGGTATTAAAGATTTATGCAAATTAGGCGTATTTCCACTAAAAATCCAGCTTGGTAACCATCATTTTCAGATTCAGCACCCCAAAATTAGGTAAAATAGCTATGTTACCAACTTTTACTCGAAAATGCCTCTACATGTAACAATTATTTTAAGTATCGCCTAGTCTATAGTAATAGTGGGCTGTCATTGTACAGTCTTTTGGCCATGTATGGTAAAATACGGTTGTAAAAATGATGTGTACCATTTTATACACTCTCAGCCCATTACAGTAACCAGACATAATTTGTGGATGAGGGTTTATAACAGCCAGGCCCAGCAATATACATTGTAGCATCATTGGAATGGTTGATTTTTAAGTCACTGCAGTGTTACCAATTCTAACATTCATATTCTTTCCAGTGCTCACTGATTTCACATTATCATTGGATGCACAGAACCATTTCTATAATTTTGTACATTACCCACACACACAAAAACAGCTTCAGATTCTCAACATTTGGTTTTAGAAATAGTGAATATTCTTTGGCTGCTGCAGAGTTATTGTATCTTCTTTGTGTAATGATTCAATTGCACAGAGACGACCCACGATTCTCAAAATGTGTCGACTAAGTACATGTACATGTACAAACATGTACATGTATGTATAACTTACAGGTACTATACTAGCTTGCTTACGAAATGGAAACAAAATACTTTAACATTAACATCATCAACTAATACACAACTAAAGTATTTGATTGCTACACGTGTATTTACAAGTACAAAATTGGAGCTCTTAGAATTCAGGACTGCAGTCAAGACCAGTCCCATTGTACGGTGGAATGCCGCTTTAATGAACACCACTATACCGAACATTTGGCTATACCAAGCATCAGCCTTGGCTCCCGATTTTTGTGTACAAAACTTACTGAATATTGTTGCTGAAACATGTCAACAGAAGAGTGACAAGTGGCTATTATTTCCACAAGGAATAGAAAGGGAAAGCCACCATGGGTGTCACGAATGAGGGGGGCCCAAAACAAAACAAAAAGGCGCCAAATCGTATTGTTCTTAATTTAATGGGTGGGTGGGGGAGGCAAATGTGTCTGCCCACCCTCGTAAAAATAATCAATCAGGAAAATGCTGGAAAATGCTGGAAAATATAGGGATAGGGATTTTGGGGGGAAAATGGGCTTTGCCCCAGGCTAATATAATTCAATAGTTGGCACCCGTTCAAAGTTGTCTTTCAGTAACTACCAGGTCGTGCAGGGTGAACTTATGAAGGACGATATTTATTGAAATTGAGTACCGGAGCACTGGCAGTTTAAAATCGCTATACCAAATTATCACTACATGTGTATTATGAAAAATTTTTGTGGATCCCACAATGTTTGTTATAGCGACTTTCCACTGTACCACAAATAATACACTGTGCAACAAAGATCAAGTAATGACACATGCAATAACAATAACAAAGGCTTTATAAATGTCTAAAAATCAGTCGTTACTTCATTTATGTACAAAACAATAAGGAGATACCCAAATTGACCTTGTGTTTGTTTTTCATTTGCACTCGTGTCCAGAATCAATTGTCTTGTGTCCGAACTCAAGTTTGTGAGTTAACCTTAAGGTATTGTGAAAAGCAGTACATGTATATGTAGCACATGAATGTTTGATAACTTAGTAGCGGATCAAGAGGGGTTGGGGTGGTTAACACCCCCAGCCCCTCTAGCAGCAGACTTATGTGATGAAACTAGTAAATTAGGCCAAAAATAATAAGTGAAATGCAGAGTTCCTAAATCTATTATTAAATGGTCTATTGCAGGAAAAATCATTGTAGATTTCATAGATTTCAAAATTGTACTTCGCACGATTTAGACTTCAACCCCCCTCCCCCTTATATCAACCCGCCCATTTCCTGAAAGCTACATCAGCTCTTTAAGATGAAGTTCCTCTTTACTTGTCAAACTAGCCTTAAATACAAGGCTGTGATGTGCCATAGCCGGCAGGCCGGCCCAGGATAGGCCGAGAAGCCCACCATAGCCTACCGGGCTCCACATGGCGAAACCCTGATCCAATCGAACACACCCGAAGCCCACAAATTGTATTTGCCCGCTGCCAATGCCTACATCAATTCACAACTGTGATTAATCTGCTACTTCCAGCTTATATGTTTTTCTTTACTTTGCACCACAAATTCCAGGCAAATAGGAGGAGGGGGTGAGAGGATAATGCAAGTTTGTCAATGGCCAATCACGCCACAGACCACCGAATGCTGTTTTGGTAACCCAACACCTGCGCGTCTGTGAAGCGACACACGACATGTTGTAAACAGCGTGGCGCGTCCAATCAAGGGCCAATCAGATCCTTTCGACTGTAAGCAGCTCCTTCCAATTAACATAACTTCAAAACCCAGAAGCTACAGAACAATCAAGGCTGTGCTCCTTCGAAGCATGGGGCTGGACTCTCACATGGTGGCATTGCGTGTATTACAACAATACTGTGGGTTTTGTGCGTGCGACGGTCCACAGTTTTTGCTGTGTGCATGTACATGGGGCAGGTCTGGTTCGCGAAAGGGTAGGCTCTGGCCGGCTACAGCCTTGTACTCAAGGCTATAGTCAAAGCTGGCAGATGGTTCAATTTTGCTGCACTTTATGAGATCAACTTTTTCTCCACGTGTTCATAAGCTAACAAGTTGTAAAGTACTAAATGCTACCATATCTGATGACTGTAGATGCATGAACATTGTACAGTGGAACGTTACTATACTAAACACCGCTATTCCAAACATTCGGCTTTATAAAACATCAGCCTTGGCTCACAATTTTTGTGTACAAAACAATACCGAACATTATTGACGGAAATGTCAATTGAAGAGTGACAAATAGTTATAGAAAGGACAAATTCACCCATTGATTTACCTGTAGGTAGTAAGCTCAAAACCTGTGTACAATGTAATTACATGAATCAATAGACACCATGTTCAAAGTAATCTTTCAGTATCTACGAGGGCGTACTTGGTGAAGTTCTGCTTACGGAATTGAAAAGATTAATGGTCACTTTTGGCAACTCTGCACAATGGTCAAAAGAGGGCACCACTAGTATACGTGTGTAAAAAGCGCTATACCGAACAATTGCTATAACGAACAATTTCTGTTGATCCCACGATGTTCATTATCGATTATAGCAACGTTCCACTGTATAATTATTGCAGAACCTTGTTGTGTGAATCCTTTCACTACGTAATCAACCAGGATTTTAAACATGAATCCTGCACCATTCAAATTAAACATACAATTTACAGGGTGTAAAAAGGGTGATTCATATTGACACTTAGTTATTATCTGAAGGTTCTTCACTTTAGTATACATGTATGCAGTGGCGTCGCCAAGGGGGGGGCCAGGGGGGGCACGTGCCCCCCTGGAAAACCTAGTGCCCCCCCGAGTGCCCCCCCATCTGAGATTTGGGTTGGTAAAAAAATATATATATATTTTGTTATATTCAACTCCCATCATCTGAGTTGGTTAAATAGCAATTTCTGGAGATATCTTCAGATCGAATTTAGCATCAAATGCAAGGGCGGATCCAGGGGGGGGGGGGGCCAAAGGGGGCCATGGCCCCCCCCCCTAAAACGAAACCAATTTTTTTTTTTTATGTGACATCGCAATAAAGGCAGGCAATGAGTACACCACCATCTTTTCCTCAAAAAAAATATTGGTTAAAGTGGTCAGAAATTGCCTCAGATCGCACCACAGAGCATCTAGAATCCAAAAATTTTTCGGGGCCCTTAAGCGGGCCCCCAACCCCACGCCGTAATTTTTTTAAACCACTTTTTTGGGGGACCAAAATTTTTTTTGGCCCCCCAAAAAATTGTTTTCTGGATCCGCCCTTGATCAAATGTGGCACCATTTTGCATCTAGCCCATCCTCCGTGTGTGAAAATTTTCCAAAGGGGAGGGGGCACCCCCTCCCCTTAGACCCCTCCCCCAGGACGGCGATCCGTATCCACCTAAGTGCCCCCCATCAAATGCTGGTGCCCCCCCTGTGCCCCCCCAGACTGAAAAGTCTGGTGACGCCACTGCATGTATGTAGTCAAAGTGATTCCATTTTAAAGGCTGATATACAGTAGGTGTGTAAAACAGTATATTTCACAATGTTGTTCCCTGAATAAATTAATCGCTCCAATTTTTCATTTATATATTTTTTTACTGCTCACTAAAAATTAGCGTATATGAAAAAAAAATTCAAAGCTTAAACTGTGGTTAAATTCTCTGTAATGGGCATTTAACCAAAACCTTGCCAAGTTGTTTTGAGTGCATTCTTCATGGGGTAGTTATTGTCTATGAATAAACAAATAAGTCATTGAGAGCTAAAACATGATGTGCCATTTTGACTTAAAGCACACCGCTGTAAATCAGTCACTTGCAAGAGTGCTTTCAGGTAAATCGTAAGTCAATTAACCAGTATCGTCAGAAGTAACAGAGGATGAACAATAACAAAGGAATGCCTTTATCAAAATAGATTTGATGACTTATGACTACAATACCAGTATTCGTTACGAGTGGAACACGAGGCAATGTCTGTCATATGGGACATATGTTAATCCGTGTCCCATAATATGCCACGAGGCTGAAGGCCGAGTGGAATACGGAACCCAGGTGCACTTCTTTTTCCGTGTTCCACAAGCGCATGTGGAATAACAAGTTTATCTTCAAGCAAACTTGACGCACAGTAAAAATGGAACAAGCTGTACAAACATTTCAATGGTTATACAATTACATGTGCGTGCATAGGAATAGCATGCACATCTTAGAATAGGGCGATATGTTACAGTCCCGGCCGAAACTCGCTGGGCCCCCACCACCGGCCCCCAACCAATGTTGTCTCTCATTGCGTGGTCTGTGCTCAAGCGCAAGATGACAACATTGACCAAGGGAGCGGGGTACCGGAGGAGGGTATGTTCATTGTGTGGACGTGTCCCAACCATTTTAGCCGGGATTGTCTGAATGTATGTACCCTGGATTGGATGTGGAGAGGGAGGGTGTGGACCAGGGGACTGGTGGAGGGTATGCTTAATGTGACGTGTCCCAACCATTTTGGCCGGGATTGTAGTATCACACCGTTGTTGCCATGGATTAACCGGGATCAAGGATTCAAGTTTGCTTGAAGATAACACTGCTAAACACAACCTTATAATCTTTAGTCATTCTTGAGTTTAACTGTTAGATACAACGTGTGAACACGCAAACAATACTTTGCTTGCTGCCTAATCCTTAAATTAAAAATGAAAATACTCCAATTTAAGCACAATTATTATCAGGTTACAAAGTAAAAGTCATTTTTTACCCTTTTGGAATTTGGCCTTTCTCACACATTCAGAAGCTATGGCTGTAATGTTGATGTTTCAAACATTGTATTGAGTGCACGAACTTCTGCAGACAGAGTAGTTGCTGCCTCAGTGGCCTGTCTAACAGCATCTCTGTAAATTCCCTTCTTCTTACGATTATAGCGCTCAGTGAAATAAGGAAGAAATGGGTATAACTCAGTCAAAGGCATATGTGATATTGTTGTTGAAGCAAACCATGTAATCTGTGCCAACTGACTAATCAAGGTACCATCTTCATGTCTACTTACAACTATCTCAACAATACGACCTGGCCACCATGGAAATCCTGTAATCTTGCCCCATACTATGTCACCAATACACATTTCCCGGCCATCTTGTAAGCGGCTTTTGGTCACATTTTTCTTATGTACCTGCACTTTTAAGGGTGGTACATGGTCCTTTGCATGTACAACAGAGATGATGTTGCTTTCTTCAGTTTCCATACACACATCCATAATGCCCTCAACACTGGAGCCAACAACAATATCGTCTGGGCCACATTTGTCTTTTCTGTGATTGTGGTATTCCCTTGATGTACTGCATGCATGTGCACTGTCTATGCCAAGCATATTATCATCTTGTTTGTTAGTGCTTTTTGCATTGGATTCCCTGACACCTTGACACCTTGACACACAGTGGAGACTGCCTACTGTCGTGTTTCCTGAAGATGCCATGCTTTGGGATTGATCCATGAGTTGACTCCTTGAATAACTCTTTACATCGCCACAATGATTAGGTGCTGTACTGTAGTATGTACCTTCCGATTTGATGATACGAATACGTCTATGCTCCTCGTGATATGATTTAGTGTCACTGCTATGAAGAAACCCATTAAGCACTGGTTTGACTGGTTTGCTTGACTTCCTCTTTGGTGGAGTTCTAGCCTTCTTCAATATTTTCTGTGATTTGAGCTGTTCAGTTTGCTTCAGTTTACTAGTTCGGTTGGATTCAGTACTGTTTCTGTAGGTAGCAGAATGCGTTTTGGCTGGTATCCTTACCACATGGCCCTTACCCTGTGGACTTGCATATGATATCTTAATTACTGGGCTTGTCTTTCGTACCCCAGTCACATCTGCGCTACAGGTTTTTGACTTTTTGTTTCCCACGTATTTAGTAGAGGCATCTTCCTTTTTATGTTTTCTGATCAAAGGCAGCTTGTCTGTTTTTTTCCCTGAGGTGTGTGAACCAGATGCAGCAGCACTGTTGCTACATTGTGATCGGCATTTACTGCAAAGTGGACGTCTTGGTCTCAGGCGGATTGGTCGAGTACGCACACTGGTGTTAGACATCTTCTTTTCTTTGAAGTTTGCAGTTTTATTCATGAGCAGCGGTCTTGGAGAGGGAAGTGGCATATCTTGAAAATATGACTGTCTGTAACTGAGCGCTGAATGTTCAACCTTGCCAACTTCCCCAGGCCCATTTTCCTGTGGCATAACAACTACTGTTGTAGCTCTTTCTGACTGAGATACTTCATCAAAGTTATTCTTCAAACGCTCGCAGAGTGAAACAGGACTACTGATGCCAAGAGGACATCTTCTGTTAAAAGAAAAAGGTTTAAAGTAAGACGTCGGTATGTTATGTCAAATGATATCCTCAAGAAAACCAAACAAAAAGGACATGTGACAAGATTAAAGGGAGGAAATTGAAATGGATAGGTCATATGCTTGACGACAACTGCCACTGTATGATAATAATAAAAGTAGTAATAATAATAATAATAATTACCCTGGATTGGACATTTGGGAGACATCCCTATAGACTTGTGCACACAATTTTTCAAACTTCAATGTGCCCTAACACAATTTTCCCTTGTCCTTTTTCCACGAATTTCGGTATGTTTACTAATTAGACCACGAGCAACAAATATAATCCAATTATGACAGCAAAATTTTGCCTCTAAAGGGGGCTGTGACTGGGAGACATGAAAATGTCTCCCTAATGACCGATGTCTCCCATCGTGCAAAGAAATTATGATAACTTGTCTCCTTATTGGTACCATTACACGTATATTTCCTACTAATGCTATAATAGGGCGACACTCCCATAGACTTGTGCGCAAACCTAAACTGTCATCTAACCCAAGTTTGCCTAATCCTTTTCCATGAAATTCGGTATTTAGGCTAATTGGACGACGAGGAATCAATCTGGATGGGTCGCAACATTAAAATTCCTTGTCCTAATGGTTGTTTGAACAATAGGGTGACACCAAATTGTCACCCCAATAGGGTGTGTCGCCCTAATCGAGACAACACTTGAGAAATCTGTCACCCCATTGCAGCAATTCTAAATTTCATAATTTTTGAACATTGATTATCCTGACACACAGATGCTACCACATGACATTGCTAAAAGAATATTGCCTATAGTGATACTTGTGATTACTGAATAAAGGCCTTTTCGCACCAAAATCTCGGGGTCGGCCCTGGGACGACGCTGGGGTGAAAAAAAAAAAAAAAAATCACTTGCCACCCCCTGAGCCTCCCCCGAGATTGGGGGGGGGGGTTGTTCAACCCTGCTCGGGACCACAGTTGAAAATCTTATCCCTGGGGCGAGACACTTTCCCCGGGGCATGAACGAGCATCAGAGGATTAACATAATATAGACTCTGAAGTTTGATGTACCTGTAATTGCAACACTTCATCAGAAAAATAACATTTGCGCTTTAGTTGAGGCTTTTCGACCGACACAAGTCCAACCAATTATTCGTAATACTGGACAGCAAGTTGTACAAATCGAGGAAAAGGGTTACAGGAACCTTAATTTTGGACATGAAAATGCAAACAGGGTTGTACTCCTTTAGTTTCTTATCCTTAACTCCCTAGGGGGTGTGCAAAATCGTATTGAAATTGGAGGATTCAGGACTGTTAGGGCTATAGTAATAGTGAAACATATTTAGCCTCATTCATGTCACTCCCATTTTCTCTGCATCAGAGACCGTCGGAGACACGAACATCACGCCACGGAAATCTCACCAACTTTTATCCTCCAAAACAGACAACTAAGCTTAGACATGTTAGAGTTTCAGCTTTCCAAACGCGTCCATAAAACAGCCGTTTGATGTACCTACATTGACCAAGAGATTTATTAATGAACCACCCTTCCTCCGCCCTGCGGTCCCTTGAAACTTTCCGATATTGACCCGGCAGCCCATGTTTATTGGCTGAAACAAAAGCAGGGGTGATTCGACTACTTCTCCACGATAAGCAGTAACGTGAATGGCAAGTTGCCGGGTTTCCCTGTGTACTTGAAGAGGTCACAGACTCATTTGGCTCTGCTCGATGTCGATAGCTGGTCCAGAACAAAGTAATGCTGAATTGAAAAATCAATGTGAATATCCACTTCTGAATGCATGAGTGGTCATTACATGAATTCTTCATGTCTTATTTATTGAGTGAGCAGGCACAACCCGACCACTGTGTTTAGAATTGTTCTGATTAATCTTTGTTTCTTTTTTTTAATATTATTTCTCCACGGGACTTCTCCTAAATGGTTTATGGTATGAACTTGTAACTTTCAACATATCGACCCTAATCCCGAGTGGTGCATCTGACGTCAACGGGTGTCAAATTACAAGCGATTAAAGATTTTTGGGTTTAAAGGTATAGTCCATCATTTGTAATTTGTGCATTTTGTTCGTTTGAAGCACATAAGTGCTCTAAATCTAAAGAAGGGTCCTGAACAACTAACCTGATGAAGTTTCGGCTTCAGCTATTCATTTCGAGAAAAACAACATTCTAGGATCTCGATTTCAAATCAAAAGTTGCTGAATCATGTTTTGAATTGGGCCTGAATTCTGCGTCCGAGACACATTCTCACTGAGCCGATTGCAGGTGTCGATGTCGCGAACTGATCCGATGAATTATAGCAACTGCGCGCGCGTGTGCGATGTGTCAACACTTGCGCGCGCTTCGCCGAATAAAAAAAAGGAACTACTAACGGAAATTTCCAACGGTGCTTCTTAAGACGCGAAAGGCCTTCTTGATTTCTTCAAAATGACAGCTTGCCAGAGAGAATAATTTCACAAGGAGTTTAGGCCAAAAAAAAAATAGTTCTGCTTCCGATTACATGCCTTTCAAAAATAGGGTCAGTCGGTCGGGAATTTTTTTTTTTGCCATTTTTTTTAATGCAGATTTAATGGGGTATTCAATTATATGCGAAGTTTTTAGCCTGAACTATTTCCATTGCACTACGAAAGCTATACACGAAATGGCAACAAAGAGTGAATAAAAACTACCTTTAATTATTGTAAATATATTTACGTTCGATAATTTCGGAAAATAATGGAAAATTCAGGTCGTTCGCACCATATGCACAATGCTAGTCAAGACACGGGGAGCTGGCCAAAACTCCGAGGTGTGTGATGCGTGCGTGTGTGGCGAGCGGCCCACCATGGGCCGACAGACCTGTTTTTAAGGTCAAAAATTTTGGGAAACACGCGGCGTGTATCACTCCAAATACGAGTAGTGCGATCTCAAAATGAACTCTTGAACACAGAAAATACATACACAGACAAGCTAGATCAAATCTGTAAATTAACTTGCAAAAATGTTCTTTCTCCATCGGTGTTTTCTTGCCATTTTTACGATGTCGAATCCGACCAGTTGACAGTGGCCTGCATCGGTCGCATAGCTATGGACTGGTTACCGCATTTTCATCATGTCTTCGAAATTGGCCCCTGCGCGACGCAGCGGGAACCAGTCGTTGCCATGTGATTATAGTCGCCGTGACATCGCATTGCGAAGTAGCTATATCGCGAAGCGAATTTGTACAAATAACGGAGGTTTCTTTTGAAAAAAAGCGAATGTAAGTAAGAAAACAAATAAATACAAGCATTTTTTTATGCAAAAGGGTTGTTGAGAGGTATTTTGTGAAGACAGAAAAGACAACAAAATTTTATTTTTATTTATTCAATCTTTTTTTTTTTTTTTAATTGCCGATAAAATTTTTAGGGTCGCAGCCTAAAAATAGGGTCGGTCGGGTAACCGGAAGCAGAACTATTCTTTTTTTTGGCCTTAGTCTTCTTACTGTCTTTCAACCAAGTATGTTTTTCAACAATAATTACGCCAGTCACTTTTTGGATAGCTGCAAATGATGGACTCCGGCTTTAATCTTTGAAAATCAATATAAAATCAACCGTGAGAGACCTGATCATGGCTTTTGATCAAGAACAATCCAGGATCTACATTTTATTTCCCAAGTGCCCAATCATGTGACCCTTCCTTCCGGTCCAAACCGAAAGTGCCGTATAATTTGAGAGTGGAAAAAGATAAGAACTTGCTTTCAATGATGTCAGTCTCTGGCAAGGCTGTATTTTAGGAAAACAAATACTGGCAATGTCATAAAATGTTAGAGCGCCCTCTAGCAGCAGGTTGAATAATGTTTAAATGAATAATCAGTTGATGCGTGTGGCGAAGTTTGCTCAAATCATTGCATTGTCTATGCACGTGCACCATGTACATACAAACACGTACGTGAAGCAGGGGCCGGGACACGACCGTGACCTGTGTCCAAAAAAAAAAAAACTCCGCACGTAGATTGGGGGATGCACCTACGAGTACGACTGTTTCATGACAAGGCACGGTACAAGAGTACAGTAGTAGGTGCATCCCCCGATTTACATGCTGAGTTTTGTTTTTTGGGCACAGGTCACGGTTGTGTCCCAGCCCCTGCTTCACGTACGTGTTTGTATGTACATGGTTAGCCCAGGTTGGACGATGTCTTCATTGTATTATGACTGACGTCCAGGGTATAAATTGTACAACCATAGCAAAAAAAATTATAACACGTATTTTTCATATTTTTACCTGACGGAGGAAGCTGAAATTTTGCTTACATATTCCTTGTGTCCGGAATTGTGCATGCGCTGGGTTTAGAAAAGGCAAATATGTCCTTGGGCGGTGTGTTTACCAAAAATCCACAGGGAGTTCGCATTGAAAATTTTTTCCACGAAAGCGTGGGATTGCAGTTTATTTTCGGTAAACACGCTGCCCACGGTTGGACATGTTTGCCTTTCCTCAACCCAGCGCATGCACAATTCTGGACACAAGGAATACAAAGCGAAATTTAAGCTTCCTCCGTCAGGTAAAAATATGCAAAAAATGTGTTAAAATTTTTGTCGCTATGGCAGGAGAGATTCATACCCTGAACTCTATTGCGTCTACACAATGGAGTCCAACCTGGGCTAGTAAAGGTACATGGTGCACGTGCATAGACAATGCATTGGTAGATTATAGCCATAGCGTTATTGAATGATCGCTGCATGATGTCTGGGCCTTTAGTGGTTGAATTTCACGGATTTGCAACCCAAAAAATAATCGTGAGTATCACTGATGCCCCATTACTTTGTCTTTGACATGTGGAGAAGCCAGTCAATGCCAGTAGGTGCTTTCATATGTTTCAAAGGTATTTTCGTCAAGTATTTTGCATGATGTTTAGAAATTGCAACATTGACAATACTTTCTTAGTTGGACGTAGTCTGAGTAACTTGGACCCAACTTAACCCTTTTTAACATTTGGACATGGTCTGGCGATAGTAGGGTCCAAGCTAATCTGTATATGCTGAGCAACATAATTTTGTCTTTGACCCAAAAACCCAACATTGCCCAACAAAAACATCAGATTTCACCCTCAAAATGGCCTACAAATTACTGGATATGCCACCTGAGGTACAAGTAGACATCGATGATTAAGATGGTTGTACTGAAGTTACTGACGATCTGGATGAAAAGTGAAATTTCCCGTTCAATTCTGAGAGCTCCCCTCGCGATCGTGAACACGTTAAATTTCTGATTCGCATTAATGTTTGAACGACGCGATGTGGTCTTCATGCCCAGTGTACATTCGATGGTTACCGTATCCCGAGTACGATTCCGTTACCAAGCACGCGCAACGCATCGATTATGATAATGGTAGACTGGATCACGTTTGTAAACACAAGTGCATTTCGAACGGTAAAAGGGAATTGGGAACCAGCTTGAACTGGTATCCGTCCATAAAAGCTGCCCTAGTTCCCGACTCCCTATTATCGTTCGAAATGACTTGTGTTTAATACAAACGTGATCCAGTGAGTCTAATCATTATCATAATCGATGCATCGCGCGCTTGGTAAGGGAATCGCACTCTGAATACGGGGACCATCGAATGTACGCTGGGCATGAAGACCACATTGCGTCGTTCAAACATTAACACGAGTCGGAAATTTAACGTGTTCATGATCGCGAGGGAAGCTCTCGGAATTGAATGGGAAATTTCACTTTTCATTCGGATTGTAAGTAAACTTCAGTACAACCATCTTAATCATGGATGTCTACTTGTACCTCAGATGGCGTATCTAGTAATTTGGAGGCCATTTGGAGGCCGTTTTTAGGGTGAAATCTGATGTTTTTGTTGGGCAATGTTGGGTTTTTGGGTCAGTGACAGAATTGTGTTGCTCGGCATATAAGGATTAGCTTGGACCCTTACTAGTCCGAGTAACTAGGACTCTACAGATCGCTTTTTAACATTTGGACATGGTCGGGCGATAGTAGAGTCCGAGATCGATGGCCCTATTGCGGCTACTACTATTTTTTTTTTACCTCTTTCACTCGTACCCCCAATCAAAATCTTTAGATTTTACCCCCGAAAACGGTCTTCAAACTACCTTATGCGCCCCTGTAGGCTTCAGTGGGAAGTGAAAATACAAATGGTGGTGGTTAGGTTCACATACCTTGGGGAAGAAAAGAGAAATTTCATTTATAATTCGGAAATCGAGCCTCGTCGAGATGTCACCGCTATCTTGAATGTTGTTGTGTGATTCAAATTCATGAGGTCAAACTGATGACGTACGATGCGCCAGCCAAGCGCACGCCCGCATTCACAGTTGGCATATCGTGTGTGCACGCATACGCTGGCCTGCACACATCGCATAGCCATGTATGCGATGTGTGCAGGCTGCGCCGTTCAGGAAACAGTCGCCGGTGTACGCGTGCACACACGATATGCCAACTGTGAATGCGGGCGTGCGCTTGGCTGGCCATCGATCTCGGACTCTTACTATCATGACTATCGCTCGACCATGTCCAAATGTTAAAAAAAGCGATCTGTAGAGTCCTAGTTACTCGGACTAGACCCTTACTATTGCCAGACCATGTCCGAATGTTAAAAAGGCAATAAGTTGGGTCCAAGTTACTCGGACTAGCTTAATTAGTAGTTTATTTTTGCTTTAGACATGTTAGAAGCATACTCACCCTAGTTTTATTATAGGCTAATCAGAAAGTGCTGCCTTTTTCAGATGTCTATTTTTCGTGAAATTTCCAAGATTTGTTTGCACACATTTGTGCATCAAAATTTCAACATGAAATTTCACGAAAATTAGACATCTGAAAAAGGCAGCACTTTTTTGACTGAAGAGGGTGAGTAGGCCTAGGCCTATGGCTATGCTTCTAACATGTCTAACATTAGCTCTACGGCACCGATCGGAGCACGTATTAGGCCTATTACACGAAACAGTCGTTGATAAAGCGCGACTTGTTTTTCTTCGATCGAGCAACGACGGTGACGTCACGTCAGACGCCCTCATTCGGCAAACCGGTGCAAGGATTGAGCCTCACGGCGAACACATTGAGCTGTAAGTTTTCAGACTATTTTGCTGTTTTTCTTCAAAATTTTCGCTGTTAGGGAACAATGTAAGGGGTCTGATGGAATGTCATGAATGTGTAGATCAATCCAGGGTAACTGTCTCTCTCATTTGTATTCTCTTTACCGGTTTTTTGGGGGGTCTTTTTGTCCTCGCGTGGGTTTGTGACTATGCAGTATGCTACTGTGACGCCGTCACCAAAGTATGCCAAATCGGTGGAGCGTTTGTATGGAGGGGTACCCTTAATTCAACGCTCCACTCAGTAGAGCTAAGAATAAGATAGGCCTAGCCCCACTACTAGTGTGGCCGTCGGTATGCTGCGCTGAACCCAAGCGCAGCATACCGACGGCCACACTAGTGGGGCTAAGATAGGCCTAGCTACAAAAGTGTCAACAATAATCATGATAATGGCACTTACCCAATCTGAGTATCGATCAAAGCTCCGCGATATATCTTTCCCCCACTTCTGAAGCAAACCATGAGCACATTGTTAACCGCTTGTTCAACTTCTACCGCCACCATTGTACCAGGTTTCAAGTTGTGCTTCTCTTGCCCGGTCGCCATTATGCTAACGGTGTCGCAGCAGTCTCTACGTACGTACGTGCGTATAATCAGTGATCAAGCGCGCATAGCGTTAGCATGGACTGCATGCACTGTGACGACACTGTACAACAAGTAAAAAGTATGAGGATCAGATCGGAGTACAGGAACAACGCTGATGTTATGCACATATCACGTACACGTAGTCGAGTCATGATGACATGCACGTACGAACGCAGCCGGTCGGATTTGTCAGCCTAGCGCCTACGGAGGCCGATAGACAACCATATTCACAGAAACTTGTGAAATTCACAATTTACGGTAAAGTGTACCTGACACCAGTGACCACACTAGAGCAATAACGCATTCATAAAAGGCATAATTCATTTTTTTAAATGCCTTATCCCCAAATTTGGAAGAAATAACACTATAACAATAAACAAGGAAAAGTGTTATTTTTAGTGCGTCTTGGAGATACGCGGATTTCTGGGGAAAAAATTACCACAAATTAGGCAATGACCAGATCGATCATCAATGATTATGCATTGCGGCCCAAAACAAATGAAGACCTTTTACTGTGTGCTAAGTAGCTATACTTTTGTTTTTCACAGATCTGAGGCAAGGGAACGCAAAAATGACATACATTTGTAGTTATCAATTTCACACTTTATAGATGAGCCGATTCATTTGATTCCTTACATATGGGAAAGCTGGGTACCGTACCTAATAAAACAAAACTCAGAGCATTTTTTTTTTACATGCAAAATGTGTCGATCCTGAGCAGACCTTTGCACTTATAGCTGACTTTTGAAAATTGTTTACCAGCAAGTCGGGTCAGTTAATGGAGCATATATTTCAACAAAATGTGCAGAGCTGCACTATAATTTATGGTTGGCGATTTTGGCCCTATATACTTGCAGCTGGTCGGCGAGTGGGGGCTGAGTGGAGGGTCGCCCAATTTCATCCGTGCTGATAGACAGGTTTTTTTCACCAGCCTCCGTGGAATCCAAAAAAATAGGGGGGGGGGGCAAAACCGAAGTATGTTCAATGTCAGACAGTGGCGCTATTCCATTTCCATGGGACGTTTAAATAAAAAGCCAATCGGGAAAACCTTTTTGTTTTTCATTACAAATTAACAGAAAACGTTAAAAAGGGGCACTTTATGTTAAACCCATAAGCATGGTACCCCCCCCCCCCCCCTTTAGCTATGCTGCGGCATATTACCATTTGTATGCCATCTATATTTTTTTATGACACACAAGGGTTTGTAACAGGATCCAATGTCTGATAGTTGCATGTTGTTGTTTTTTTTGGGGGGGGGGTGGTTTCACAAAACTGCATGTACACGCTCAGTATATGTGTCTGCATACCTTGTTCAGGCGCGTTTCCTGATCCCAGACTGGGGTTGGGTGTTCTTTAAATTCTAAAGTGTGCAATGCCACAGGAGTCGACAAGTGAGTCCAAAACATGCTTGTGTTGGGCAGTAGTAGCGCCTTCCCATAAACTACTTATAGGAACTAAAGGGTGGCAGATGGACTACACGAGTGAGCTGAGGAATTCATGAGGGCCTGAGTTGGCTTGAAGCAAAGTGCGAGGTTAAGACATATCATATGATCGACGAGGTACCCACCCCAAACTGGAGCCCGGTACCTTTGTTTGGTTACACAACCCTGCTAATCAAAACGGGTTATCACAGGTACAGTGCAGATAAGAGGGTCCCTACCTTACCTTGCATTAAGTGTCCGACGTCATTTCCAGGACTCAAAGGAAGAGGCATGTCAAGCGAGAGATGAAGGTTGTTCGCTGCGACAGGTGCGCCGATTCAGGCATTGACAGTCAGTGCGCCGACATTTGAATCACCAAAGCAGGGGATCAAATCAGTTTGATGTGAGCAATATACACGATCGAGGATCCAGGACAAGATCTGACTAATTAACCCTAACAGCCTGAACTCAACCCCCATAACCCAAACGGCATGTTTTGTTGAAATCTGTCAGGACTGATTGGTACAGTACCCCAAAACAACTAACCAAGTCTTTGCATTGGGTTTGCACACCTCCATAATCAAAGTCAGAAATAATTATGTGTGTGCAGTTTCCCATGTAAGGTTCCTTGTAAATCATGATCATGCTAGAGTTAGGATTAATATTCTTATGATCCCAATGAAGGTCAGCCTGCAGTTATACCCACTACACAGGACCCTAGTCAACTACAGGCAAATGTGGAGGCGAGAAGGAAAGTCAAAAATTCAGGAGAGACAAACCCTTTTAAGCAGATTTATATGACAACAGCCTTGAACTTAGCACCAACACATAGGCGTAGGCTGCCGGGGGGGGGGGGTAGCCTTGACCAAGGCTGTCAGCTTGTCCCCCTTAAGCTTGTTCCCGCTACCGCACACCGAGCCGCGACACACTCGTTGTACATTGTACTATCCGGTTCATAAGTGTGCATGACGTCACCTCCAGCCATTCTGCACGAATGGCACCGGGAGTTAACGCACCTCAAGTGTTTGTAGCCAATGGGCGCTAGTAATCAATGGCGATGCGCATGTATGACGTTTTTACTAACGGAATAGATATCGTTAGCCTAAACGACCCTTGCATGTGCTTAATTTGTCTGTACGTACGTACGCCCGCCTACGTACACACATCCGTAAACAGCCGTACAGTAAGTCGAAGCGGATCTGCCTCGACTCACTTTACGGCTGTTTGTACATGCAGACAGAGCACATGCAAGGGTCGTTGAGGCTAACAGTATTACACACACGCACACACACCCAGTCGTTTTTTGCTATGCTTCCGAGGATTTGCTTTGTGTTTTCCTTTGTCCCTGTAATATAACACTCTCCCATAGACTAAGCACACAAACCTGCGTTCGAGGACAATAGGCACCTTCCTTCGAGGATCAATGGCCCCTTTGTGCTCCTTTTGTTGTCTGTCCTCAGGCGTAATGCCATGCAGGAACACACCCCCACACACTATTTGATTTTACGGAGGCCAAGTGTCCGGGAGAAAAAAACAACTTGTGTCTACATTTCAGCATGGATGTGCAAGTGCCCTCTTCAAGAAATTTTGAACCCCCCCCCCCAAAAAAAATGACTTTGCTACGCCCCTGCAACACCACTGCTTCATCCCGCAAGGCAGCGCAGAAAATCTGAGAGAAACTTGTAACAGAGTAAACAACCTCAAGTTTTTGTCTTTTCTCAGGAACAGTACAACATGCGGTTAGTTTCCTTTCAACCCGACCTTTGAAACAGGATAAGTAAATAATCGTAAACATAACAATTTCAGTGATTTAGAACAATGAACCTCTTTAAGCTAAGCTTAGACCAGCAGCACCTAACGGAAGAGGATACGAGTCCCAAAATCGCTGAAGGCAGAGATTTAGACAAGCCAACGTCACCACGGAAGGGCAACCAGATGTCGTCCGTGGGCTAGGGGAGGGTGTGTCAGAGTGCTGCCTCCTCTCAAAACCCACCGCCACCAGTGAACATTTAGGGAATGCACTCTCTTAGGAGGCCACTTACAGCCATATGGTTACTACAGCAAAGCGGCGGTCGTTGTCAAGGAAAGCTAATCCGATTACGTACTAAGACGCTGTAACAGAGCATTGAAATTCTTGAACCCCCCAAAACATGGCCTTTTGAACATTGTGTTTTTCAGAAAATATGTTCGATATGATTGAAATGTTACATTCTAACTGAAGAAAAAATTCTAAACTTCATGTCAGTGAAAAAATTGCCGTCATCGATGCCAAAACGTCAATACTGGTTACTGTCAAAGCTGACCTTCAAGTCTGGAAAAAATCGTTCGAAAACTTCCCCAAATGTTTGTATTTCTAGGAATTTACCCAAGTCGTTATTTCACGAGTAGTTGAACACTTATATCATCTAAGTATATTCCGAATTTTAGCTTAATCTGTTGTTGCAGACGCTAGTGTTACACTTTGAACCATCTCTAAGGAAAATTTCGAAGACGATCAAAAAAATTGTTTGCCGACCCAACCCATGTGCATTCTTCAGCAAAGCGTCGTAGGTGCTACGGCTGACCGATTTCGGCCCAGCACACAATGATTAAGGGCATATTAGCATATTCATTAGCATCACTTGGTGTGACATGCATGGCATGGGACTCGGTATCGACCAATGAAAGCCGTCAAAAAGGCTGATATTTGTTAATTAACAACTCATGAAAGAGGCTTTTATGCAATTGTTTACTGCACACCATAATGGATAGGAACCTCATTAATATTCGTGAGGCTAATTGAAAAGATTGAAAAATATTGCGCACGCCAGTGTTACAATTTTCAAAATTGCACATTGTGAGGCCTGTTTTTCCAATTTCAACGAAAAGTAACGAACATATCACAATGACTTTTAGCACATACTAATGGATCGTTATAGGGGAAATAAATCCTGAAAGTTGTATTATGAAGATACAGTCTTCCAAACGGGAGAAATTAATTTTCAAAGATTTCACCCGCCAACGTGAACATGTCTGTGTTCTAACAATGTAGTTTCATTCAAAATAAAGTGTTATGTAACCTTTAGAAATCGCCCTTCACAACCATATTGGAACCCCCATCCACTGCATTGAAATGCACTTTCTTAGCACTAGGGTTGAAAGGGGACAAAACAAAACACCATAACCTGAGTACACCTTGACCGATCTTAAACTTGGCACAATTTAATCTTCATGAACAGCTCTTTCCCCCCCCCCCAAAAAAAAAAAAAAATATTTGGTTACCATGGAAACCAACTATAGGGGACACTGCAGTCAAACTAAATATATACGCATTTATTTTGAAATTTATCCAGAAAAGTTCTCATCTTTAGTCATAACACTTTTACTGTTCTTGAAAGCTACCAAATCTTAAAACGGCACCTAATTTGTGATTATCGAAAAACTACTGTTGAACTTAAATTTGACAGTTAAGGTCTTGGTATGAAAATAAAACAAACCCTGAATGAGTTAAACACCATCCTGCATAATCCAAGTAACGTATTCCTAGCCCTTGGATTGGGAGGTGGTGGGTCAATCTTCCAGATACATGGACATACCTTTACCAATCTTGGTAATACTTGACATAGTAACTGTTCATAGGCCTATATATGTCTTTCAAAAAATGTCTTGAATTGTCATGATAACCGACCATAGAGGGTGCTATACCCAGATGATTATAATAATACACATACATACATATATTTTTTTCAATAACAAGTTATTTGAAGATTT